CCAACACTCCAACAAATGAGAAATTCTGTATTTCGTCTAAATATTTGTCAAATATCTGTCTCTTGGGTTCATTGAAGTCCATTCGGTGGCCAAACACCAGGTGACTGATAACGTTGGACATACTCGGCACCAGTACTTCGTGGATATTCATGGGCTCACCCTTAGTCTCATCGATACGTTTTGTGAGATAACTGATCTCATCGGTGATCCTGTCCTCCATAGAGCCCTTCCCGAAGCCTAAGTCTCGGAACACCTGTAGGGCAGACCTCCGTTGGTCTCTCCATACGTCTCCGCTCTCGTCAAGAATACCTAATTATAAATCATATGTTATTAATACTTGTGTTCAACCAGTCTGAGCCAACCTTTTTCCAATTGATAAGTGGCAATTTTCTGAGTGTACTTTTATGTGTGTATATTTGTACCAAGTATAATCATAATTAATAGTGACTATTGCTATGTGCACTCAAAAATTGTCCACTTACAATTTGGAAAGTGGTTGATTTATACAGTGGTAAACTTTGATTTAAATTAATTATTTTATCAATTTGTGACAATAATTCTTATACTTTTAGTTCCCGTCACCGCAGCAAATGGATGTTCAATCGGTTTGCCTAAAAAGGCGTCCTTTTGAAAGGCATCCCTCACGGCCTCCCAATCGTTAAGTATGACAATATTGTGCACTCCTAATTGTAAACTATAACCGGCGATGAAAAACATTTATATTACTATTTATTTATATTTTTACAGTTTAATAAATTGTTTAAATGTTATTCACTACAGCATTTGTCTAACTAAATATTATGATTTATTTTTTAAAAAACAAATTTATTTATTTCAAAAATTGTTTAAAATAGCTATAATTTTACAAATATATAAATTACTTCTTAGAGACTTACGTGAAAACAGAGCCGTATTTGTCACTCAATTTAGCGATTGCTTTGTGGGGATGTTTGCCGAGCAATGGTCTGTTGCCGATCAGCGGTAGGCCAATGGGACCGACGGGTAAATTAAGTCTCTCTTTTATATTACTCAACACATGTATCACTAAACTTATAA